CCATCTCCACTGGAAGACCTTGTAACATTCCAAACCTCTAAGCAGCTTTAAATGTCTGCCATTTTTTTTTTAAATTACCTTGCTAGAGGAATGTTTCCTTCTTACTTTTCCAAAAGTGGAGCTTCTCTCCCAACATTACACCTGCCAAAGATACGGGATGAATGATTTTTGGTCCTTCATGAATAATGGATTTAACGTCCTTTTTCTTTTCTTTTTTTCCCAAAAATATGACTGCATAACATTTCGTTTATATAACTGGAAAGACAGGCTTTCGAACTTCATAATGATGGCGCTTCCTTCTAGATTTGGAAGTTTCTGGACATTGAAACAATGACATTTATGTATTGAAAACTATATCTCAACAAACTACTGTATATAGTTTGACTCATTGTTACTCAGCCAATGATTATGGGTGGAGGGGTAGAAAAAAATCCCAGCAACAATAAACATTCCCTCTCTAAAACATTTCTATAGTAGTTCTTTTCTGTAAAATATGTGGCATACAGAATACATGAAGGTGTCAATCAGGCCAATAAAAGATTTATATCACACTATCAAGTATTCTTTTGTTTTCCATTCTCTTCTATACACTTGACTAGTGATTTTGGTGCCCAACTTCAGACACCTTAAAATGGTCTGATTTTAAGAAAATGTTGAACACTAGTGCTCTTATAAAATCACTAGTCAATAATTAAAATCTTCCCACACAATAGGCCTGATTCTCCATTACTCTGTACTTTGTGTTGACATTTACACTAGTGCAAAATGGGTGTGAAATGTTACCATTATGATTTTGCAGCACTTTTTCATTTTGATTTGATGTAAACAACTACATAAGGTGTAGAGTGACAGAGAATCAGGAGCAGTATATCTGCCAGGATTTTTATAAAGTCTCTAGTTTAGTAATATGATTAAACTGATCAACCTTTCCCCCTTTAAGCTGAAAAGCTTTTATATCACTGCCAATTATTGTCTTCCAAAAATAAAATCCTTCAGCTTTATCGTTTTCTTACAAGAAATAGCTAGCAGATGACAGATAAATTTAAATGAGGAATCTGAAGTGCATACTTACAACCAGATTCAAAATCTTAAATGAACAGTATTAATCACAAAATTGACTGTTGCATAATCAGCGAAGTTAGAAAAACACAAGCAATGCAGTCTTGTCCTCAGAACAAGTTTTATTAACATTTTGCTTTAACAAACATTGTAGTATGAAGGCATCATTAGTTTAAGTTTTCAGATGTATGGCACAGACAAAAGAAAAAATAACAGATTCATAAGCAAATTCAGCATGTAAATCTCCGATTAACAAAAGAGACATGTGTTAACCTATTTAGCCACTATACCATATATTTTGCAAGCAACAGACTACATTTATTTGCATTTAAGTAAAAACATATTTTTGATCAAGAAAATTACATTTTTCTGACTTTCCTTTATATCACAAATGTCAGGGTAAGGCAAATCCTTGATGAATCATATGATAAAAACCCCTATTCCCCAAGAAAATATATCCAACATATTCTGCTAACTTTGTAATTTTAAAAGCAAAGCAGACATGCACTGCATATAGAGAAATATCTTTTTTAATCAAATGCATAAAGCAGAACAGTGTTAATTCACAAAGAGGCTTTTCAGTGCGTCATAGAAAGATTTACAATTAGCTGTAGTGAATAATATGTGACCCAATATTAGACAGTGTCTCAGACATCTCCTTTGTAAGCCTGTATGAAAGGAAACTTGTCCATCATCAGAGCAATCACTAGCTGGAGGAAAAAAAGATTGCTGCTCCTAATTGTAGAATAAGCACTTTTTTCAACTGGAACATTGAAAGCATATTCTAATATTTGGATGCAAAAACCACTAATTTAGGGGTTCTATTTTCTACACAGAACATACTGTGATAAAATTTTAGTTGTTAACCAACCCCCCTGTTATAGTGGCATTAATCCATTTCTGATATTTATTCTTCTACAGAGCCTACTCTCTACTTCTGTAGCTCCAGCAAAATCAATAGTGGCTGCATTCAGGGTGCACCGGTCCAGCAATAACCAAAGAGCTCAGAATCATATCGCCTAACTGTGCGTACATCATTTTATTCATTTTTTCATTAAAAAATCCTAAACAAATGCAACCCCAAAGCCACATTAACAAAAAAAGCACGGAAACCAAGCTACACACTCATGACTGAAAATGGGACTGTTAAGATTTAATCAACTCACATATTTTCTTACTCTACACTTCCTGCCTGTGCTTCACACTTGCTGCAGAGTCCTCGGGCAAAAGTTCCACAGCTTCAAAGAATCACTGCTTTTAAAGAGAACCAAGGTTAAACGAGGGTAGCAATGAAATTACTGTCACGGGTTATAAGGAGAGCCTCTAACCTGAAATACGTTTGGAGTTAATTATTGGTAATACCAGTCAGTATTGCCAAGGCGTTTAAGGATTGTCTTGTCTCTCTGTATATTTTTGAACACACCTCTTTAACCAGTCTCTCGCATTGATCTGCTCCTTGCTGAGCCTCACTAATGTTTGAGGGGCACAGGATACTAGCTAGCAACAGCCTGCAGTTCTCTAGTGTTGTACGTGGAAGACTGTGACAGTCAGACACGTACAACTGCAGAATTAAATACATAGGACCAGATACATGACGTGTGGATATTGTCCTACCTCAGCCACACTCAATGGAGCTGCGACAATTCAAATTAGCTGAAGATCTGGCCCAGACAGTTTCCCACCAGGCTTTAGAAAGCTTACACCAATTGACTTTCCACATGCTTTATGGAGGAGTTTCCCTAGCTCTACAAACAAAGGGAGCCCTTCAATTTTTGCCTTTTTAAAGAGAACACACAAACGGAGGTTTAACATTATTGTTACCTAATACAGTTATCTTTTTCCCCAGAGACGGTATCAGTTCTGTTATGACAGGCTATTTAAAGAGAAATCATTTGATAATGAAACATACTGTATGTGCATCACGCAGATACACAATCTGCTGGTCCTTTGACTGCTGCAACTTGAATCAGCCAAACATAAATGTAGGGACAGAAGGAAAATAACATTTAGGGCTGGGGTCCGTGTGGGGCCTTCGGTCGAGCTAACAGGAATGGAAAAGGAAAGAGGCATAGAAGCGTCTAAGGGTAGAGGAAGGGATGTCCAAAATGCATTCGGACCCAACATAGCAAGTACAGTACAATCCTGGCACTGGTTTAACAGGAACTAACAGGATTCATTACATCTGAAACCTAGTTTCTTTCAAAGCTGATCATGCTCAAAGTGAAATATCTACTAGCCTCCAAACAGAAATCCAAAAGCCTTGGAAGCCCCCGCCCCATGTTCCCTAACAATGCCACAGGAAGTGACTGCAGACAATGCCCTCCTCCCCCCTGGGCTCATCAAGCGGCTCCAATGCTAGAGGTACATAAAAGCAGATTATTGGAAGATGTCAGGCACTGCTAGTGGCCACACCCCAACCGACAAATCTGGGGGTCTTGTTTTAGATCCTGGTTTGTCCCGTCATTATTTCTAATCAACCTGCAAATGCCAGCAGCCGTCAAACTGTTTATATACGTATAGAGCTCACAGTTATATCAGTGTGAATTTGGCACAAATGCATTGATCAGAATAGGGCCAATACATTTCAGTTTCCTTTCACTTTTTTGTTTGTTTGCAAGCCAATCAGTAATCATTTCAGGACTGGGGGAAAGAGTGTACACATTCAAGCAAAACCAGAATCTCGGGGAAAAAAGAAAAGAAAAAAAGCTCTAATTGTTTTTAACACCGTTATATTTTGCAGAACATCAAACCCTGGACACATGCTGTGCGTTCCTTCAGTCTTGTGTATCAATTTCATTTACAGTACTGTTGAGAAAATGTACATAAGCCCTCTTTTCTGCATGCAGCACTTGCTGGCAGAACAAATGACATATGGTAAAACATTCTTAACCAAATAACTGTTAATTGCATTTTTAAAAATCATGCATATGCAGTAGAAAATATAATGAGGGCTGACACAAGGTACGGTAAATTTGTGAAAGCCATAAACTATATTTAAAGATGTGCTGGATGCAGAATGCCTGTTATCCTCCATTACTCACAGGCTGTGCAAAATATTAGTTGCCCACAGGTACTTTAAGTACCCACTTAAAATAATTATTTACTTTTAGAAGTGCAAATCCACTAGAAGAGAAGAGAATTGATGCACTAACTGCATTAGGTCATGTGGCATTACTTTGCATCACATGCTGTGCTATGACCTGATACAATGCAAAGGATATGCTCAGCATACTCAAGATTTAAAGAGCTCAGCAATGGGCAATAGACGTCTCCATTCTCCCAGTGAGCAATACAGCAATACAACATCCTGAAGCATCCAGATTTCCAAGCTTATAGTGTGAAGCACAGGTTGGATTCTACTGTGCACTAGGAAACACTCCTTCTAGCTCTTTTACTATCTCCATAGTAGCAAGGGTCTTTGTTCTACAAGCTCAAACTATTTTGCACTGGCACTTGCAGTCAGGAATTCCTGACTGATGTTGCTGGAGGTGGGCACTGTGCAATAACTTCACTATCAATATAGTGATAGTTTGGAACAGCTGTTCTTAAAATTCCTAAGATACACAGTGTTCTGTGGTTTATGATGCTTTGTGGCAGTCCACGTCCTCAAACCAAATCCCCAAATTTATCCCAGAGACAGGGCCGGCTCCAGGGTTTTTGCAGCCCCAAGCGGCGGAAAAAAA